TTTTGTCCAAATCAAAGGTTTCCAACGCTCCTTCATTCTAGCAGAAAATTTCAAAATAACCCCCATTTTTATAAATCATTTCGAAACGCTTTATAATGGCGAACTACCCAGCACCATTATTAAACCAAGCAATAAATACTGGTATTTAATACTATGTCTTTCAAATAGCCTAACATTTCCCATTCCCTGCGATCTAGACCAGATTAAATGAGCAGTGATAATGACAACTGAATGTCTTATATGTTTGGAAATTTGCGATCAAATGAAAAAATTACATAAAAATTTACCTCCACAACCACCACATTTAGTTTGCGTTAATTGTTATAATAAACTCAAGCTAAGAGCTAGTACATCATTCGCAAAAATTTCTTGCCCCATTTGCAGGCAGATTATTCATGTAATTATTATGACAGATTATGATGTCTGTAATATCTGCAACCAATTAGTTTTATCCAGAAACAAACGAAAGGGTGAACAAATGATAGTTAAACACCCTTATATTACTGTATGCATTATTTGCATTGAGAAATGCAAAAACATCAGCCCTATCTGTTTTTCAAAAATTGCTTTTGATGAGTTTTGGGCATAAGTACCTTTATTTCAATGGCAAACGGATGCCCTGTTTGTCTAGAATTGAAAACTTTCCAAATTGAAGTGTCCACAACCCTTTCATTTTAATTGTAATGATAGCTACATGACTCCTAAGTCCATAACTAACTTAATTTGTGACAAATTCTTGTGCCAAATATGCCGCCAGGATGTTAACGTACTAAATTTAGAACAAATTAACGAATGTCAGACCTGTAAAGACAATATAAAATGAATAAACAATTATGCTGTTTGTTTAGGAAGTTACAAAACGTTCTGCTTGGTAATGGACATTGATTTTGTCCTTGATTACATTCTTCTCGTCCAAGTTGACGGATACCAAGCGCGTACTAATCGTATTTATATTCATCCCGATCAACAGCATTTGGATATTTTTTTGCCAACGTTGTAGTCCTGGCTTTCACGATGAGGAAAAATTTACTGTCAAAAGCAGTAGTAGATTTTACAATAATGTCATAAATGCGTTCAACAATGACGAAGATGTTATCAACATCAATTTTCCAACCTCGAATCGTCTTATGCTTTAATCTTTCCTCAATTAATAATGATTCAGATAACTTTACCAGTTTTTTTTAATGTAAAATTTTCCAAGCTTAATATTTTTGATAACCAAAATTTTCTTTATGTTTCTCAGCCTATTTTACAGTACTTTTGAAAAACCATTCAACAACCCACTCTTGAATGCCCGATTTGCTACTTACCAAAATCCAAATTCAAGAAACAATACAATAACACGCCACATCATCCACCACACTTCATCTGTATAGACTGTCATGAGCAAATTGTAGCCCATTTTTCTAAATAAGGACAAATTTTTGCCCCATTTGCCAAGTCCCAAGTTATACCCAATCACTTTCATATTATTCCCCTTGTTGTTTATGCGATAGTGTGGTTAATTGGGGAAATACCCAGACCCAAAGTATGGCAAGCTATCAACATCTTACTGATTGCCATCAAGGTATCACTATTTGTACAAGATGCCTCCCTAATACTGCAAAACCTTGTCCCTTATGCCACATCTCTTGTGATTTTTCCGACCCCTGGAATTAATTCTCCACACTATACGATGTCCATATACGATTCCTCTACACTCCTACATTTGGTAAGGTCTCAAGACTTCAGTAATCCGCTCACAATTTGTATATCTTTTTAAACAACAATAAACACAAAAATCTCCTTTAAACATGTTATTTTATATACTATTTACCCCCCCCCCCGGTTTTTTCTAGTCCCTTTTACCTATAAAAGGGGACCCCATGGTAAGCCTGTGGATGACCCCAGGTGGACATACATTTAAGATTAGGGGTTGATTAATGCCCAAATTTCCATTTTGCTTTAACTACATAAGTTTAAAATCTGAGCTTAACTCAGTGTTGTAAAGTGCTTTATTCCTGTATTCCTGCGGTTAATAAACACCATGATCGTTTTTCTTCATTTGTTTTCCGTGGTGGGTTTGTGTGAAACCACAAGATTATATTTTCCACCTTTTATATATATACAATTTTACACTTTGTCCTTCATTGTTCAAACATTTGATAATTAGCCTTAGTATCCGAATGTAATTCGGGATTTTGAATTTTTGGTTATTTTATATTGATGTTTAGCGAAATAGAATAAGACCCAATTTTGAACTGGAACTGCCGAAATGCTGACCCTTGCACCAGAGGAGTTTAAAAGAAAGCTGCCTCTCAGAAAAAAACAATGAAAACCTGTAGCAGTACAATCTTTGTCAATGGACGACGGGTTAAATAAGAACCCTCGGAATTTTCCCAGTTTGACTCAAAGATTGGAACTGCAGAAGAGCAGAGAAGCCAAATTGGATACGGAAAATCCAAAATTTATAACGAGTTTTAAGTACTCAATAAAGCAAAATTATAACAGATGGAAACTGCCATCGTTTATTGAAGTTGTCAACTCAACGACAATAGAAAAGGCGATGATGCCTGTCGAGGAGTTCATAACCCAACAAGAAGTGGTTATAAAGAACGAAACCAACTTCTGGAAATTAAAGAAGAGAGAGGAACACGGCTACATCCTGAAGGCAGGAGGAACGCAAGTCACCATCCCGTTTGAGGGAATAACTGCCTTCCCGAACTATATAAAACCCAAACAGGAACAAGACGATATTCAAAAACTTACGGACGGGATGAGTAGACTGCGAATCAAGAACAAACTTAAAAAAAAAAAGAAAATCGTCAAGTTGCATCAAAAACTCGAGGCTTCACAGAGGAAGATAGCGATCCTCAGATCGTACAATGTGGAGCTAGAAGCCGGAAGGAAGCTCTAGACGAAATTAAGAGCTATTCAGAACAAAAACCTTATATAAATTTGAGTCCATTAACCTAACCTATCTACATACATTTTTCATTTGATGCTCTTTTTAAATGTTATAACTATAGTATTTAATCACTAAAGTGTTTAAATTTTTACCATGGTAACTGCAAGAATCGAACAGCTTAATTTTCTTATAAAAGGGGTGAGTTGTAGTATTGAAAATACTACACAGACAAAAGATCATTGTCTTAATTGTTTATTTAACGACCCAATTCTAAATTGGAGCGTGCTATTTAAATTAAAGCCTCTTTTCACTAAATCAGATATTGACTGATTTACTCTTATTAGGACTATAAAATCTTGTTTTGAAAAACCACTCCTTTTTAAATTCTTGTCCAATTTTTCCCATTTTTTCATGCTCACTATTTTAAAAGGGCGGCGATTATTAACACGTCCCTTTTAACTTTAACTTGAGACAAAATGGAAAAATATTTAGCAGTCTTGCCGGCTGCACTGAAATTCTCCTTGCTTTGATTAAGCAGAAATGCACCTGCAATATGATGCATCAGAGAGAGTAATATGAATTTTTAATCAGATAAAACTGAAGGCTGCGGTTATAATCAAAGGGGACTAATAAGTTAAAGATATTTGATTTGAAATAGTCAAATAGAAACTAGTTGAAAATTCCCTTATAAGAAAGAGAGAACAAAGGAGCAGGTGAAACCTGAATAATTAAAGATTAAATCAGCCGCTGGTTTATGCTTACGAGCAAAAGGACTGGCCTGAAATCTTCGGTGTTTCATTTTGCTCAGTATGCGGCAAGTCAGATCTCTTCAGTCAGATCTTTTTAAAATAAATAATTTTTTTTCTGCCTTTTTAATAAAATTAAACTAGCCTTTTTCACAAAAAAATAGAGAATAAATTCTCATTTAAAGTTTGATAAATTTATAAAACGAGATACTCGAGATACCCACACCTGAGGAAGTCTGGACTACAAGTACCCAAAGGACTACGGCAAAGACGATGCTGACGACCAAACCAGAAGTGCCGAAGTGGACACAATCAAGGGCGACCCATACATACTAATCAGCCATCGACCTTAGTAAGAAGATAAATTATTGATGAACAAAATAAGATTAGCTCAACCTCCCCTCATAGGTATATTTCTTCAAGCTGTTCGATTCGTTTATATAATCTAATAACCCAGTGCTTTGTATTTAACCAACTAATTAATTCATACCGTTTCTAACTATTGTTTCTACTCTAACTTTTGTCAAGACAACTTGACGATCTAAGGAGAGACTTATAACTTAGGATAAAATTACTAAGCATTTAAGCAGCAATGAACGCTTAGTAAAAAGTTATCATGGTGAAATAGGATTAAAACAAAACTAATAACTATAGCTAACATCGTGGGATTGGCTCGATGGGTAAGGCAGGTTTCAAAGGCTGGAAACAGTCTGTGAAATGCGGACGGCCAAAAAATTAGGCATCCAACATGTCAGACATTTTTGCATGAGAAAAACCTTTAGGTATTTAATAGATTTTTCTGTACATTATTACTGTAAGCCCTTAGTTCTATTTTTTGCTGAAGTTTCGCAAGATTCCAATTGTTCCAAATTACCCCATATAAAAAATTTCAAAGAAGTTTCGCCCATTTGTGCGTCTTACTTTGTTGAGGCAACATTTCCGCAAAGCTTAAGTTGATTGCAGCCAAACTTTTCAATTAGGTTTTCTGAAATTATCAATTCAAATTTAAAATTGAATGTTAATTATTGTGCCTCAAATGTTTTGTATAGTGTGGGAATTTGCAAACCAAAGAAATGCATATATTTATTGAAGTTGTGCTTATCGCAATTAACGGCCCGAAAATAATTTAAAACGGTAAACACTTTTTTAGTCTCCGAAAATTTAGTGACTGTGAATCCTAGTTTCTCTGGTTGTTTCCTTAAAGTGTCTTTAGTGGTTACTGGTTGGGGACAGAACTTTAGCAGATGTTGTAGTAAACAATACGATTATATTACAGAAAAAATATCAAAAAATCGGTATTTGCTAATATACGATTTTAATACAAATGGTTTGTGAATGTCCATTAGCGTTCAACATAGCCAGTGATCAATTGCTTTTTCAAGTGTGCGCATATGGTTTTGTTTGAGACCAACAAATCAAATCATTTTACTTAATCATGTCGTTACACAAAATAATGCAAAATAGACCTGCTTTCGCAGTTTGAATTGGAACCATCTTTTTGGTTTTTTGTTCTATTAAGTTGATTTCCACACAGAAAAAAATTCTGTAAATTTGTTTGCAGGTGAGTCTTAATAATCTATTTTTTCTAATCAGAACTCTTAATCAAAACTCCAAATACAACCAAAACCAAAATATTCTGGGCTTTGCTGGTCTCCGTTATTTTAAAATTCCGAAGCCAAACTGTGCACTGGATAGGCGTACAAGTTTGTTTGTATAGGTTTCTGGAATCCAGAGACAAAGTCTTTGAACATTTTAAATTTTGTCGGAACAATAAAAAAACGAAACAACAACAAAAAAAAATATTCCGTTACCTTCGTCACGAAGTCGGAACAACAAAGAGAGCTTCCTTAAGGAATTGTTGCAGATTCCGCTTACAATTCACAAAACACAAACCCGCAGTGGAGTTTAATCGATGATAATCGATTTTAATGGATTTTTTATAGACAAAAATGTTAAATAAAATAGTCGATTATAGAAGCCAGTTTTGTTTCTCAACATAAATCCCTGAAAATCGATTTTTTTTCATAAAAATCTATCAAGATCGATTGTTTTCTGCAGACATTGTCAACTCAGCTTGTTGCACTTTTCCACAAAACTATGACGAGCCAAAGAAAAAGAAATATTTTGAACTAAATATTAAATAAACTGAAACAAAAAAATGAAGGCGGCAATTCACAAAATCATGTTTTTTTTCTGGCAGTTTTTTTCTTGTTGCATTCCTGTTTTAACCCAACCCCACTCCCCCCCCCCCCCCCAGTTTACGGTTCCCCTTGCCTTGTTTTTTTTTATTGTTTTACCATTGATCGGGGCGCGGGCTTTTCAACATAAACTCCACCGTTTTACCTCACCCCCATTTTTGCCCCCTCTAATATTTTTAACCCCCTTCGCTATCCGTTGGGGGAGGGGGTAAAATGGGGAAAGGGGAACTGGGGGACTCGGGAGGAGAACTAGAGTGTAGAGTGGGGCTTAGAGAAGTTGGTGGAGTTTATCCATCCCTCCCCCCGTTCAACCAATCCCCCTTCATACAACAAATAAATATCCCCCGTTCAACCCTTGGACTCCCCTCTTATTTGAACGTGAGGGGGGTAGTAGGCAAATAGTGTTAGTAAAAGTAAGCTAATGTTAATTTTTTCCCATGGCGATGGTGCAAATCAATGAAATACTACAAATAAAATTTTAAAATGTCAAATTGAAAAATGAGTTATGACCGAAGTGGTTTACTCATAGAGTAATTTCGGATAGGGTACACCGTCTGCTCGTCACGCTATCTTATTTTCGGCCGGATAGATTCGTGCAACTTCTTAGTCTAAAACCGATCCTAATCTTACTCTTATATCTACTAGTCTCAGGGTGTTTAACTAGTCTCTGCTAGGCTCAATAGATCTAGAGTATACTGGCTTATTGCGGCAGCTGAAGTTCTCTTGGAGAGGCAACTAATCTCTAAGTTAAATTCATATCTCTCTGGTGCTGAAATTACAAGTAGTTTCAGCACTTACAAATAAGTGGGTTGTTAGTTAGATGGATTATGATTGGTTAATATTAAATATTTTACAGGGGTAAAATATCCAATTTATCCAATAATAAAATGTAGTTTAGATCAGGTTCCAAAAAGTTGAAAACTTAAAAATGAAAAATATTGTGAAAAGTGAATCTTGATGAAACGTAAAAAGTAGCAACTGCAATGAACAGTAATTGAGATAACTTTGAACACAATAGCGAATTAACTCAAACAAAATAATTCTGAAAAAATGATTATTATTGATTATCATCGATTATAATGGATTATATTGATATGAAAAGTATTGGGATTTTGGTTCATTTTTAATCACTTTTAGTCAATTATATTTCAAATTTGTTGAGACTGAAACTGAAACTATAACATAGTCAATTTTTATCCATGAAACTACAGTGCGGGTCACGCAATATATTTACATTTTTCTATTTCAAAATTGTTTTATGTGTTATAATACCTAAATGAGCCATGTCACGATTTAGAGTATGAAAACTTTAAAAACTAGAATTATAAAAAGTATTAATTTCAGCATAAAAATTTCGGTTTTTTCCCATTATAGATCCAATTTTCACAAGTAATTTCTCTGTTCTCCTTGTCCGATTGTTTGGAATTTTGTCGACCTTTTTTTAAGTCGATCAAATTGATTTTCTGAGCTCTCCCAAATCACCAAAAAGACCCTATTTCGACTAAATTTCCTGCACCGCAGGCAAAATTTTGAAAAACAGGTTAAAAAAGGCAATTTTCATCATTTTGTTTTACCGTGTTACTTCGCGAGTCTTGTCATATCTAAGGTCAAAATGTTAGTGATTTGTTATTATTTATCCTAGTTAGAATATTCAAAAGCTTTTCAATAATTTTTCTTTTTTGCTAAGAGTTGGCGACTTCGATCGAAGCCGCTATTGGCAAAAACTGAGTGGTATACGTTTGTAAGGCTCTCGTTACCAACGCATTGCATGATCCCAGCTATCAGGATGAACTTTCCGAGGAATTTCTCACAGGTTGGTCAAACCGGTGTGCGCATATTGTTGGAGAGGGGGGGGGGGGGTTGTCGGTTAGTTGTTTGAATTGATTGCGTTAGTGATCATAACTTATTCTTTTTTCTATCATTTGAAATGTCGTGTGTTTTATACATTAGTAATTTCATTATAATCTCCACAAGTTTTTTGCATTAGGATCAAGTGGTTTAATTTTACTTTCATGTGAAGAAGAATGCCTGATCAAGGATTCCCGAGAGAAGTAGCGATTTGTGGGAGTTTTATATATTTTAGTTTCTATGGTTACGAACCATTCGGAAAAACTTTATACAAACGTCGTTATTCTTATAGAAGTAATGCAAAAATGCAGACTGTTAAAGCATTTCTTAATTGTGCCGGGCCAAAAGGTGAAACTGCTTTATTGGTTCTTTAAGCATTTTTAAATTGAAATGCTATGGTATCGAAAATTTCATTAATTAAGTCGTTGTAAGGTGTATTGCATTTGTTTGTGGAAAAGTGATACAAATAGGCTAAAATAAACAGATTCAAATTAGTTGAAAATAAGTGTTCGGTATATTGAGTTACAGTTCCTAAGTTCCCGGGTTGACCTCCATTGACCGAAAATGCAGACCATACACTTCCATGAACCATGTCTATGAAAAAAGGCTAATCAAACTCAAATCATATTGAATTATATCAAACTCAAACTTTTTTTCCTTATATTTTTTGAGTAAAACATCAATATTCATGTCGTTTACAATGCATTGTAGATGCAGGACCATTAAACCGTTGGTGTTTCTAGTTTAAAGTCACCAGCATGTTTGTCAATTGTATTTGGTTACGAACACAACCCAAAAAATTTGTGAAGTAAAATTTATAAATAAGCACTCTTTTGGTTTATGGTTAGATGCTACTCATACATTTTCATATCTGATAAATCACTAATCATAGACGTTTCATGCATTTTTCAGTACTTATGGAATTGCAAGAAAAGTGTATGGTTAGTATTTTTCCATATATGAAATTTGTATGATTAGCATTTTCGGTCAACCCGTGAAGTGAGTCAATGGGGAACGCTGGTAAATGTGTGAGGTAGGTGAATGATGGAAAGGGGTTAAAAAGTCAGTTACGTGAACCAAGAAACTGAAAAGCTTCTAAGAAAATCAGAAAAAAAACGTAAAACAAAATATTTTTCTCTCATATTTGCTGAAAGTAAGTTTCATTTCATCAACGGCAAAGTTCAAGCTTTGAGCATAGTGAAATTTAATTGAAAAATTTAGATTTCATGAGCAAACGTTGCAATCTGGATTATATTTCAGAAATATATCAGATATATGTCAGAAAATCATATAACGGAGGCAATGACTGTGTTCTTTCAAAAATTATGACAGCGGTGATGACTCTCAATAAATTAGTTATATCTCATGATATGGGTTTGCTTTATTGCAAGCGGAACTCTAGTTTTGCTTTTAATGCTATTATCTTGTGGATAGAGTAACGTGAAAAAGAATTAGAATAAATGTTTTTTTTTTAAAAAAAAGATTCAAACGCCATTGTTTTAGTAAAATTTCCAAACATATTGTATACTTGCGAGTGCTATATGAAAAAGATAGCCCGCACTGGTATTTCATCGATGATACTCTATTATATTAGGTTTTGAAGGACAAAAATATTGAACAGTTAAAAAATTAGGATAAAACCGTTGATTGGTCAAGACTGTTAACTTAAACTAAGACTAGTTTAAGACTTGTTGATTTAAGACCCCTACTGTTTCATTAGTAGGCTTTTATCTAAGACTAGATTAAAAGACTATAGAGTAACTAAACTAAGCTAAGAGTTAAAGAAAAAAGGTTGAATTAAGATTTAGTTACACAGAAAAGGTTCGTATCAATAAAGATCAATGATCGATTTCCAGATCCACCAAAAGCCGTTGCGCTTTTTGCAGGTATTTAAATTAGCATGGTAGTGACAACACTAAGTATAACTTAATGGTTAAACTGTCAACGATAAGATATCACATTTGACATTCCCCGCGAAAATTTGGCTAAAAGATATACTTTTCAGCACTCAAAAATGTTCAATCTCAGGGAGGGGCTAGCGGGTACAACTGGCAGGAAATACCCCACGTTAGCGCCCGATGGGTAAAATGTTAGTTTGACCGTGTTAATTATATATACTGCACTGCAAAGGCTCAAAGATGATAACTAAAGCGACTAATGATTAGTACGCTAAGATAAATCAGCAACATATAGTACACCAGTCTGGCCGAAGGTTTTAATTTTCGACGCAAAATGATTTTACAACGGTACTAAAATATCGTGCCGAGAGCAGTAAAGAATCTAACGAAAAGGTTACTGGAGTAAACGTTTTTCGAGAGTTTGAGTTTTGAATGTATATAGACGATAATCTCCGAGTGGGATCTATGAAGCATCCCGGTTTGCGGCTCGGTTGACTGTCCACCTCCTCAGTTCGTCGAGCATCATTGGTCGGCCTAATAATTCTATCGCAGGAATGATTGAAGGGGTATTAAGCCAGTCTGGATCAAATACGATTGGTGTCGTCGTTGCCTCTATT